TTGACTGGCCAAAGAGCTTGATTGCTGCACGCAGCCAAAGGCAGACAAGACAGACAGACGCCATGCTGCGATCATCCATCACCTCATCCAAGTTGATGCTCATCGCACATCGTCTTCCCCACACACATCCAAGCATCGCTCCTCTGCAACACGCATCATCCACACGAGTCAGGTTGCAACTCAAGACGACATGCTTGCACGCATCGCTCCTGCTCTCGCTCGCACATCCGCGTCAAGGTTCGCACCTGCGGCTGTACGTCACTACTCGGTGAGTCTGCAGCGAGATGTCAAGGCGAATATAGAGTTGCGAAAGAGTGGGGTCAAGGGTATATGGGGAGCAGGGCAAGGTTCAGCCATCGCAATACGTCGCTTTCGCGCGCTGAATCACAGGATGAGATGTATGCTGATCCCACCTATGCTCTTCCGGACGCGCCCCTGTTTTGCAGGCTCCTACGCAATCCGAGCAAGCGGCCAAGGCGCATCACAACAAGGATGACCCCGACACTCTGGCAGCCAAGACCACAAAGGATTCTCACGCCCACAACCGCCCGGACAAGCTGAACGACCACCCTAACGATGTGCCCACTCACAGCGAGGAGAGTGCTCACGCTCACAAAGACTCTAGAAGCCCGGAAGAGCTCGCTCATGAGACCTCCAAGCGCGCTCAGGGCAAACACTAGATAGCTTGAGGCCCGTTTCAGGTGAGCTTACTCGGCACGCTTGCGCACAGCAACGCCTGATCCGTAGGCGCGGCGCAGCTGCGCTGTTCCACAAGCTGACTTCCGTTTCGCCTCCATGCTGGCTCAGTTACTCAGTCGACCCAATACACAAAGCCAGCACAGGAAGGAAGTTGTAGGGCAGGATCAGTCAATCTCAATACATGTCGTTCCAGCCTTGCGGCCTGTTGTGAAGCGAGCATTCTCTTTCGCGAGACGACATCGAGCAGAGTGCTCAGCTGCGGGGCAAGAGCATCGAGCTTCGCTGTCGGCGCGCTTGACCGGGGCAGGCGCTCTCGCTTGTGAAACCAGCAAAGTATCGAAAGCAAGCTTTACGTGTGGCAGCGGGAGCTTGGACAGTCGTTTGCGTCCGATCGTGCGCGGACGGTCAATCGAGGACGTTGACGAATGCAAGCGGCCTTGCGACACCTACGACCCCGGCGGACAGCCAAATAGAGCGGCTACCAACGAGACGTCTGCCAGTTCGAGCGCCATCAGTCTCAGAAGACAGAGCGACTTGCTAGCTGGCAAGGAAAGGTTTCCAAGGCGCGACGCGATTGAGCTCGCGTCTGTCCTAGCATCGAGGAAGTGCTTAGAAAGGTGTTGTACCGATTCTCATCAGACTTTTGTGCGACGAGCGCGCATTGTCGCAGTAGAAAACAGACATTGCTGCATGCATGATGAGCGCTGATGATATGTTGCAGCTTCATTGGTCATTGCAAGCGTCTGCAAAGGTCTCAGCATCAACAGACATAAAACCATGGAGACGGAAGCCCAATCCTGCATCCAATCTGACTCACGTCGCGGACCGGATCGAGCGCCGGCTGGGTGGGACAGGATCATGGAAAATTCGTTTGTGGTCCGCTTTCGACTTTGATCTCAGCGAAAGGTGTCGAGGACGTAGGCGCTTGGGTGATGCCAAACAGATCTTGAAAGACCCTCGCGCTCTCCACTCTGCGTGGTGCACCTCCCACTCACTCAGCCCTTACTGACTGACTGATCGCCGAGGATGGTTG